AAAGGCAGTTCAAAGGTTGATGATGATTTGCTGAACTCTACTTACCCGAATAACATTATCATAATCTAGATAATCAACATTACTTAATTTTCAAGTGCATGTTCACTAGGAAAAAGTGAGTACATTGTATTTTTCTTTAAAGGCATAAATCTGCAAATAAATCTGGTAAATCAATGCACGAGCACCGCACAGTGGCTGAACACATTCGGATACGTTCTATATGGAGGCACCTAGTTATTAATAAACATAAGCAAGTGGGTTTAAGTGGGCGTGTTGGGTTGAATGTGGGTAGGAGTAAAGGGACCGAGGGAGAGAGAGACAGAGAGAGGAAGAGAAAGAGAGAAGGGGGTAGGTGAGAAAGAGAGGGAGCGTCGTAAGGAGAAAGTGAGAGAAAGAGCCAGAGAAAAGGGGAGAGAAAAAGAGGCGGGGCGGGGAAGGAGGGAGAAATAGTGACAGAGGGCGGCAATGAGACAGAGAGGGGGGAAAGAGACAGAGAGAAAGAGAGAGGGGGGGAGGAAGAAGAGAGAGAAAGATCAAACTAATAATCATATCAATTCTAGTCTCAATTCTAGAATGAAATATCATGATGTCTACCTATATATCTACAACCCCTCCTATCTGTCTCAGTTTCTGTCTCTCTCTCTCTCTCTCTCTCTCTCTCTCTCTCTCTCTCTCTCTCTCTCTCTCTCTCTCTCTCTCTCTCTCTCTCTCTCTCTCTCTCTCTCTCTCTCTCTCTCTCTTTCTGACTCTCCTTCCTCCCTCCTTTGTGTTCGGAAACAACATTCATTAAAGAGGAATCGTCTCTGACAGTGCATTAAATGGCCTACCTTAGAAGTTAAAGATGATGGATATTGAATATTTTTCCCTCAGCTATCAGTTCATAGGGTTACGATGAAAATTCCATTAATGTCAAAATCAAAACAAGAGAAGTAAACCCCTCACGTTTTCTACATGCCAAGTTTCCTCACAGTTATCGTGGAATAGCCAAAACGTTGTTTTCATAAACGTAGACATATGTGAATGCAAATGTAAGACGGTATCTGGCAACTGTGTGATCAACGCGTAGAAGGGAGGTCGGCTGAGGCTCCCGTCTCAGAGTGCCGCGTGGAAGAGACAGAGGTAGGCGTGTGGTATCTGCTCCCTGTGGTGTTTGGGAGAACTTATTGGGTCTAGCTTTAGCGTTGTTTTGCTGCTGAAATTGCCGTTTTTGGAATATTTAATGCTTTAATCTAGAGTGACAGGGATTTTTCTTTCTTTAATTCATTCTTTTTGTGTGTCAATGTAGGCCTACGTACGTTATTGTTGATTACACGCGTTCATTACTGTTGGTGTTTACTAGAGGATTCCTATCGCGTCAGACTAAATCTCCATGAAATATCAATTCTCGGTGTTATGTAAACCCTTTGTCTCCTCCGTGTGCAACAGAGTGGCTTTCGACGCAGACATGATGGTCCTCACGCAACTAATTAGAGGCCGGACCCATCCTGCAGGATTTCATATCAACATCCACAGGAGGCCTCCGCGGATCCCCAAGAGGAGTAACATGATCAGGTCCTCCAGCACGCTATGCACTGTAAGGGACTTTCATTGTTCTCAGACTATTGTTCATTTTCATGTTTTTTTTGCGTGCGCTTGTTGACCTCTGCTCGCAATTACCCAGAGTGTCTGTCTATGAAAAATAAAATTCCCTTCTTTTCTTTTTCTTTTTCTTTTCTTTTTTCTTTTTTTTTTTTTCCCCTTGGAGAATCTTTCATCTGTTCGTGTGTGCTTTTCAGGCGCTCGTCCCGTCAAGAACCTTCGATCTCGTGTCAGATCTGCGTCGAGGAAATGAACTTCTCTCCTGCTACTCCCTCCGCCCATGGAACGGCGCTGGGAGGAGGTATGAATAAACTTTCTTTTTATCTAGTATTTTCATATTTTGTCTATGATTTTTATTCCTTGTCCAGATACAAATAACCGTTAGTTGACGTTTTAGTGTAGACATACGTACTTTCTTGAGAATGACTGAGAAAAACACAGTATTGTAGACCGTATTGATGTTGAATATCGATCTATATTAAATTCTTTAAGATGGCCTACCCTTGCGAAAATCATAGCTGTTTGCTGTCACAATTATGTAGATATATGAGAATGTGCTCTGACTCAGCCTTGTTTATTGGGGATCTCTGATTGTTAGCATACTTTTACACAGAATTAGGACACCTTTGCTCGAAAGAGTACAAGCAATATCCATTGGAGATTAATGCAGCGTCTCCCATGAGTTTACATCATGAAGTCCATCATAACAACCTGGGAGCTAATTAACTAAAATATATCACGTTGCACCGTAGTCCCTAGTTGTTTGTTTATTTTCCTGCCAACTCTCCCTCCTTCCCCACCAGTAGAAACACCCTCCTAAGCTTTGTATAATGAATTGTGAGCCCGCACAGGGACTTATTAAGTAAGGGTGAGGATAACCTAAGTTACCTCATCCTTTTGAGATGTAATCTTACTTTTGTCT